CCATAAGGTCGGCTTCTATGTACGCTGGGCAGAAAGACCTCACTTGGTAATACTTGGAGTTTCTCAATCCGTAAACATAAGAGTATGGAAGAAAGTGGAGCAGGGAAGTAATGGGAAAGGGATGAGAGCAGATAACTTTAAGGACGGCCAAACAACTTAGTGGGTCTAGTCTAAACATTCTGAGAGACAAGAAAAGGATTTTTTTAATTGAAAAATGGAAATTTTCATTTTTCCATAAGCCAGGAATAAATCGATTGTGAAATAGTTCTTAAGAAAGCATAAAATATGGCTTGTGAAAATATTTTGAAACCTAAGAAATACTTGAAAAAGGACAATATATTGAAATTAATTAGTAGAAATACTGTTCTCCCTTCTACTCTACTTTCTTTTGCTTTTCTTTGTACCTGTTACAGAACAGAGGCCCAGGGGGGCAATATTTGGCCCACCCAGGGACACCAAAAACTGTTACCAGACAGATACGCCGGGGCCCAGACTCCAGAGCATGGTATACTAATACCATCTGGACCACCTACTGGGCCTGATCATCCATCACCAATTGGAAAGACATCTCTCAATGTCAGAGATTTGTAAAAAAGGAAAGGAAATGTTTATTTAATGCTATACAGACCTAATATCTTCATTAAAATATCAAATACCTTTAGGATATCTACCTACACACACACACACACACACACACACGCACACACACACCACACCTCCCTTCTCCCCCTGTCCTAACTCCAGGTACCTTAAATCAGGAAAAGAGCACATGTCCGTTTTTCCAGGCCGCTGGTACTGTCAGCTGTGTCCTACCGTCCAGGCAGGATCTCCAACTAATCCAAAGTCATGTGGCACCTTCTCACGGTCCACTGGCAAGAGTTCTTTGAACCCATTTTTCCAAGCAAAGTCTCTCCTGTTTCCCTGGCCACATGGCCAAAGGGAGCACCCCAAATCCACGCGGGCCTCTTCTACCAAAGCTGCAGGGGTCCTCATTCCACCAAAACCATGTGGCTTTCTTCTTCACCTGGCTGCAGTGGTCCCCACTCTGGCAAAGCTACATGGTTCTCCTTCACCTGGGCAAGAGGGGGATCCTCACTCTGCCAAAACTACATGGCTTCCCCTGCTAAAGCTACATAGTGATTCTCTCTCACATAGCTGCAGGAGTCCCCATTCTGGCCAAAAGCACGTGGCTCTCTTTCACCTGGGCAAGGGGGGGTCCTCACTCTGCTAAAACCGTGTGCTTCTCTCTCCAATGGCTCCTGCACCTGCATTTAAATCCCCAAGCCAGTCCTCCTTTGTAGCCCCATTTCTGACTTCTCCCATGATTAGTTACACTTGCCAGTATTTCTATATTATTGCACATTTACTAGACTACCATCGTGAGTCTGGGCAGGTATGGCTCCATGTCCTGGAGCCAATCTTCTCCAAGCTCCCATGCAGATGCTGTAACTCGGGGGACCTGCCCTCCAGTTACATCTTGCTCCAAGCCTGGCCACAGCCATTTTACATATCCAAGTGACCCTCCAAAGGCTATAGATATGTTAAATGACCATGCCATGGATTAGCTGCAAGGCTGTGGCTGTACAAAACAGCCCTGCATGTTCCTTCTCCATGTGTCCCTTCCCCCAACTCACACCTGTGGGGGAAGAGGTGAGGACATCTTATATGTCTCTCCAATATTCCTATACACCTTGAGTTCTGAACACCATTCCAAATCCGTTTTGGGGGTCCCCCTCTTGGCTGTACCCTGTATCATACCCACTCTGTAGGAAGCATAGTGCCTCAATATCTCTGGGTACAATCTCATCCCTAGGTATTTGTAGGTCTCTATGTTCTGGGTGTAGGTGTATTTTGTTATGAGGTTATGTATTTTGGTGAGAGAGACTGGTAAGAGGAAGAAGCTGCTGCTTACTCATTATCAAGTTTCCATGGTTGTGATACAGGGTGCAGCCAAGAGGGGGCCCCAAATAGAGATTTGGAATGGGGTCCAGAACTCAAGGTGTCTAGGAAATATTAGAAAAACATATAAGATGTCCTCACACCTTCACCCCACAAGTGTGAGTTGGGGGAAGGGACACATGGAGCAGGAACATGCAGAGATGTTTTGTACAGCAACAGCTTTGCAGCTAACCTCTGGCATGGTCATTTAACATATCTATAACCTTTAACTGGCTGCATAGAAATGTTAAATAGCTGTGGCCATGCTCTGAGGGGGGATGGAAAGGAAGTTCCCCCCAAGATGTAACTGGGGGACAGGTCCCCCAGATGACAGCGCCTGCATGAGAGCTTGGAGAAGATTGGCTGCATGACATGGGGCCACACCCGCCCAGACTCAGGATGGCAACCCAGTAAACTTGGAATAATACAGGAATGCTGGCAGGTGTGACTGACTGTAGGAGGAGTCGGAAATGGGGATACAGAGGAAGGTTGGCTCGGGGATTTAAACCCAGACACAGAAGCCATTGGGATGGAGAACCACATGGCTTTGCCAGAGTGGGGACCCCCACAGCTTTGGTGGAGAGAAGAGGACCATGTGGTTTTGGCCAGGGTGGGGACCCCTACAGGTTTGGTGGAAGAGGACCACACAGCTTTGGGGTGCTCCCTTTGGCCACATGGCCTGGGAAGCAGGAGTGACTTTGTCTGGAAGAAGGGTGAAAGAACTCTTGCCAGTAGGCCATGAGAAGGTGCCACATGGCTTTGGATTAATTAGAGATCCTGCCTGGACGGTGACATAGGTAATGGTGCCCACAACCTGAATCACGGACACCTACTTCTCTTTCTGAGTTATGGTTCCCCAAATAAGGGCAGGGGATAAGGAAGCACTGTGGGCATCTGTGGGTATCCAAAAGGACTTTGATACTTTAATGAAGACATTAGGTCACTACTTTAAGCCTGTATAGCATTAAATAAACATTGCCTTTCCTTTTCACAAATCTCTGGCATTGAGAAACGTCTTTCCTATGGTGATGGACAATCAAACCTGTGGGGGGTCCTTTCAGTAATAGTATATTGTACCCGCCCCCGTGGCCCTGTGTGTGCATGTTCTGTAACAGTTGGACCTCACAGCATAGCCTTTAGCCCAGTTTCCATATTTGGGATCTTGGCTTAAGATATGTTCTTCCAGCGCCTTTTGGTCAAATTGTCTCTGGGCTTGAACATTTTTCCTTTTTTGTTAACTTTTTTTAAAGGGCAAACCAGAAAAGTTAGTACATCGACAGGTTACTACATAAGATAAAATGTGGCTTGAAGAAAAATGATGTGCAAGGCCCTGTAAAGCGTTTAGGAGGCAAGGATGTCCGCTAACTAAATTCCCAGAAAAAAAAGCTTTTGGTCCATCACTGCAACTCTTGATATCTTAGCCCAGCATAACTTCATTTCTATTTCCACCACCCAGAAACCTTTCCATTTTTCACTCTGTGAGAAAGTTGTTATGGAAATAAATGCCAGAAGGATGTTATTTGGCCTAATTATACAGACCTGAAGCCGAATCCCCTATTCTTGGCCTTGTATTATTAAGAATAGAGAAGCCAGAATCTGTGCTTTTCTCAGAGCATAGGCTAGAATCACCAAGAGAAAGCAGTTCCCCAGGAGCAGCACCGGTGAAGGCTGTCAGAGCGACTGGGGCAATGGCCACCTTAATGCCCCGGCTCAGACTTTCAAAGGCAAAGCTAAGGGTGTGGGGCTGGGAGTCATGGTCACCCCCGACTCCCAATACATCACGTTTGCTCTTCGCACCTTTCTTGCAGATTACCACCAGTAAAGTCCTGTGTTAAAAAATAAAAAAAAAGACAAAGGTACACTCTAGTTTAGGAATGGTGACTTTAGCCAGACAATTTTATCCTGACATTCAGTAACAATTGTACATTCAAACGTTAAATCCTATAGCTGCACTTTGGAGTTTTCTCTCTTCATTTACTACAATAGTCAAGTAATAATATCATAGTGGCAAATTGTGTACATTAAGGGAAGTTTCCTCATACTTATAGCTGCAAGTTAATTGGAACTTGAATTAACTTGTAGAAACTTATTGAACTCACTGGGTTGATTAAAAATTAATATTGCACATTTGTCCTGCAAAATAGTTACCCTTTCTCCCACTCTGCACCCCCAGAGGCTAACGGAGAAAAGCTTTTCTAGAGTGTGACCACGAAATATAAAATTATGCATCTTTGTTTCAGAAAAAAATTAAAATATTAGTTTTTGAGAAGAAATAAAGGAGAAATTTTCGAAGTTTCCAGTTCTTGATCTATTCACTAGTCATGAGAACTTGGACATGTAAATCTATAGTTTCCTCATTGGAAAAGTAGAAATATTATTCACCTTTCCTGTTTTACATTGTGAGTTTGAAAAAATGTATAAGAAGCAGTTTGTAAAGGATGAGATATGAAATAATGCTTGTTTGTACTTTACAAATGTCAACTGTAGCTGGTTACAGACATTCACTTTCTTCATGTCGGCCAACTCGGTTACGACAGCCCCCACACAAAGTCACGTGAATGCCTTCCTGCCCACTCTGCAAACCCCATTTCCGCGTTCTGACTTAGTCCAGCACACTGGGAACGCATCTTTGTAATCCAAGAGAAAACTCACTCCCTGTTACTATTCACTTCTCAATAAAAATGTCAATTATATGACATTTTGATTGTATATTTTGATTATACTTACCCTTTAATAAGACGTTTTCCTATATATCACTTTGCTTCAGGCTGCCTGCTTCTAACAGCAAGAGGTCACTGTAAACCCAACTCCCTCGTAACAATTCCTTTTTGCACCACAGCCAAATGTATTTAACCATCACAAATTCTCTGTGGGAGCCTCAAACAAGTCTGTGGCATATCCACATTTTCCTAGGCCTCTGCTTACTTTAAAAAAATCAGTATTTAAAACAAAGTGCTAACTTTTCTAGCCTTACTTTATGCCATGGAAAGGCATCTTTATTTAAAACTCTGATGTATAATACCCAGACAGATTAGTGATATTAAAAACAACAACAAAATCTCTCAGGGGTACTATTAGATTTTTATTCCAATTCGATTTACATTCTAATGGAAATTATTAAATGTATTCCTTTTTTTATTTTAAAGATGTGACTTAAATTCTTAATGCAAACTATACACCATGATAAATTCGTAGATCAAACTGAACTAGTTGCTTAAAGGAACAAGTGTTTGAACCACCATGGTCTACCTCCACACCAAGGGTAACCCTCTAATTAGTGGTCAGCTGTGCTGTCGTAGCAGGATAGTGCCAAGTCTTGAGTCACAGAAAAACTGGACGGTGTTTCCGGGCCCGGATCAAGACCGTTTCTACGCCTTCTCATAGAGGCGAACAGCAACTACATCACCAAAGGTAAGAGTCTGAAAGATTTAAAAGATAACCAAATCATTTTAGATAAGAACATCTGGAGCTGACCTTTTTAAAGAGTATCAAATATATAATTTAACTATTATGCAAAAGAATGACATTTACAAACAATAAATGCTGCATAAGCTCTTCATTTCTTCAAACAAAATGAAATAAAACCCTTGTATGTATCGAGCAAATTACATGTACATACAGTTCATGCCAGTAAAAGGAAAATGAAACAAAAACTGAGATTAGCTATCTAGATTTAGGTCAAAAGAATTCCTTTTGTCTTATGTTATCAGAGTAATTGGAGCAAGTTTGCTATCTGCTATGAAAATGAATGAAATTTTAGTAGGTTTTCATAGCAATTTTCAATTCATGACCCAGAGAACTTTCAAAGAGGTTTCAGAAGATCCAAATGATTGGGACAAATGGTGTTTGTTCCAAAATCAGCAGGAAGGGGCGAACGCACAAATGTTCCCACAGCTTTGGCTGCCATCAGCTGCCCCGCTTCATCCTGCATGAACCTTGGTGGTTCGGTGGTTCCAATGTGGAAGGAGCAGGGGTTCCTAAGTCAAATCCAATGTGAAGAATTGCTCTAAAACTTCCTTAGAAAATTTAGGGGGGGTTAAATTTTTATTATTTTCACCTACTGATGTGAATTTCAAGAGTGTGTCCTCATTTATCATCCAAAACGAGGTGCTTAGTTTTTGTGTTTTTTTTTTTAACTCAAAATCCCCTGATCACAGCCATCCAGCCAAAGCTGAGCTATCCACTTTTCTGTATCAGGGGAAAAAACGAAGGTAAAAGCAGAAAGGAAAATGCAGATTGAGTTTTTCAGAGGTGAATCTTTTCTTTTGATAATCATTGAGGGAAAATGTGGGCAAATACTTGTTAACATGAACGAACAACTGGCTCCCTACCCTCCACTTCCAGCTGAGAAAAGAACTGGAAACATGGAAACCCTGTGTCCCGGTCTAGAACACCTCCGATTGCAGGTAAGGGAAAGAGAATAAACAACAGCCAATTTTCTTAAATAACAGAAACACAAAAATTCTCCTGCCATTATCTTAGAAGAGTAAAGCAAACTTCCCTCACTCCTCAAAAAGAAAAAAAGGCAAAATGATATATTGACTATTCAGTGTGGTCAAAATACCATTACTCAGTTTATATACACTCACACACAGATGTCTGGGATGCTAGATTAAGACATTATTTTCCCAGTTTATGATGCTGCATATTATTAGAGAAATAATTTTTAATTATTTTCTATTTTATAATTTTTACGTGACTACCAGTTTTGAATAGGTGTGTGTAAAAGGTACTTTCTACAGTAAAAGAAAGACTGGAAGTAACACCAAGATGGTTCTCTCTGAGGATAAATTAGAGAGGACTTTAACATTTTTCCATTTGTTGGACTTTTGTGTTTCATTCTAAATTATCTGCACTGAACTTATATAGCCTTTATAAATTAAACTATAAAATGTTTGAAGATCTCTTGTTTATTACAGGAGTTATAAAGTATTTTTTTCTGATATCCATGAAGCTTGATATTTTAATAAGAATATCAATCTTTATATATTTTCATGATAGTTTTATATTTAGATTTTATTTCAAGATTAAGCATTCTCAAGTGATCCTACAAAAATTCTTTTAACGCAAGCTAGGTAAATCAATGGCATCCTTTTTTTAAACTACCCTAAGAATTTTTATCTTTTTCTATAGTTAAAGGAGCACAGTTAAGAAAATAATTAGCTAGGATATGTTTATTTCTTCTGTTTAACGCATGCTTAAAGAACCTTGCTAATGATTTAATGTTATTAGAGAAGGGGGGAGGGAAGAGTGAAGGGGGAAGGGAGGGAAGGAAGGGGGGAGGGGAGAGAGGGGAGAGAGGAAGAGGGAAGGGATGAAGGGAGAGAACTGCTATTACTTACCATGATCATTTTGCCATCCTTGATTTCTCTTACAAAAGTTGTTTCTTTGCCATCCCATTTCTGTACATGAACGAGTTTGTCTCCATCTAGGCTAATAACAGACTGGGAATAACAACAAAATGCAGACCATAAAAATAGTTCCAAATCCAATTTCTGATATGATATTCAAATGCAGTGATTTCTGAAAGAGTTGTGTACTTGTGAAAAACTAATGATCACATCAGTACCATAACCTCTGTTACAAAAACTTCATATAGTGGAAGTGAAAACTATGAACAAGTGCTCTAGCAATCCTTCTCCTTTAAGCAAAGCCTTAGAATGAGGCAGACTGTCTATTTAGTCAATCTGAGGCAATCCGGGAGGTTAAATAAAATGCAATTATTCTTTCAAACAAAACACTATTTTGAAAAACAGGTTTGATATACAATGTGAAAACACATGGTAAAAAATAGATTCGTGTTTTGAACTATACCAAGTACCTATAGTTCAGAACATAACCTATAGGTGCTAAAATGCAAAATTAGCCCTGGTGTCCTTTTCTGTGAAGCAAAATACTGAGAACCTTCTCCATTTCCCAACATCTAAAAAACAAAGCAGCATCTGGAATCTCTTTTTTTAAATTCACTCCCCGTATCCTCACCTGGCAAAGTGGCTTCTTACCTTACAGCTTCTGTCATCTGCAGTGGTTTCATCAAATTCTTCTCCCAGACGGAAACTAATCTCCGTGTTCTTGAATGTGCTCTGAGTCCTGATCACCACTTTCTCCCCCTCCTGACTGACGATCACTGTCGGTTTAGTCACATTTCCCACCTGCCTGGTGGCAAAGCCCACACCTGAAAAAGCAAAGGGAAGCAATACCGACAGCAGCAACTTCCAAAATAGCTCATGAAGCAGAAAGCTGCTTTCCTACTTTGGAATCCAGATCCTAAAGTCTAAGTTTTGTTAGAGCATGTTTAGCCCATTAATCACTCAAAACAACTATTGAGCTAGAATAATATATAGATGCCAAATAAGTGGATGCTGAAAAGAAAATGACAAAGACACAGAAGCTTCCCATCCACTACACACCATTAGATACACCATTATTTGGCCCTGGTCAAGAAAGGCTACTGGCACCTTAAAAATCCACTCCCTGTGAAACGCACAGCCTAGCATCCGATTATGACAATGTGATCTGTCTTTGTCACTTGCTAATCTAATGGGTGTAAAAGAAACCTGCAAGTATCTGAAGCTGTAAATGAAGAAGGGGGCATCTGATTTTTACCCACCTAGAGCCTTCATGTACTCATCAAAGTTCTGACTGTCCGTTAGCTTCCAGGTAGCACAGAAAGCCTCCACCATCCTTACCCTTTCCCGTTAGCCTTGAAAACAGAGTAAGGACAGGAGCGAGGATTTCTGAACCCTACTGCAATTCAAAAGACCCCTGTGCACTTCAGAGCAGCTCCAGCCTTCTTATTTGGAAAAGGGGCGGGCAGAAAGCCAAGGACTTAAATTGCAAACACACTCACCCCTCCAGTGTCCTTTCCAGGAGGCTGTAGCAGGGGGAGGGGTGTGGGGGGAGGCTCAAGTGAGGTTCCAATCCTCTTTGTGATTGGCTCAGGCCACTGGGTTAGCGGAGTAGGTCGAGGTCCTCCCAGGACTCACGCTGCAGCCCTTCTGCCTGAGAAAGCTCTGCAAGGATTCAATGGAGCTGGACGCAGGGAATGAACGGGAAAATGAGAGGGGGGTCTTTCAGGTTCCGCTCGAAAACTTGGCAAAGGCAATTTCAGACTGTGAGGAAAGAAAAAAGATAAACAATAGGACATTCAGATTGATTTCCGTTAGTTAGTGGCAAAGCTGGTTCCACAAAAGAGGAACCCCCCTTCAAGAAAACCACTGAAATGCCAGCCTTTTCAAAGAAGGCTGAATGGTGTCTTTCATTTTCTCTCATATTTACAGGAAAAGTAGAATACAAACTAGGATATGCCAAACTAGAAAAAGAAAAAAGGGGAAGATTTAAATGCCTTTCCTAGATTTTACAGCTAGAAGGCTATTCTGACTATCAATGGGACACTAATTTTGGCCTCTTCCCAACACAAACTGAGTGAATTTAAAGACCCCATTGTTCTTTCTAAGAATGTGAGAAGCAGACTAAGATAGAAAGGGGACCTAAGGAAGAGTATAGTTATGATTCACTAACAAGGTATAAAAATAAAGGAGAATGTTTTTTTTCTTCTTTCTACATATTATACAATCCATGTTGTGGAAACTAGACAGATTATTTAGTAAAATTTTAAATAACCTGCACAATAGACTTTTTTTTCCAAAAAGGTCTATTTTAGGATTTTTCCAAAGCCACAATTACATAAATGCAATCTACATATTAGCTGGGAGTTAGCAATGGAGGAGGTTAGGAAGTGGAGGAGCAGTGAGACAGACTTTAAGATCTTTGACTTCTCTTCGTCCTGGGTCGAGGTACCCCAGACTGGCAAAAGGCCTGACAAGTTTCAAGCAGAATATTTAAAGGAGGTCTCTGAACCTCCTCTTCACCAAGAGGTTCTTCCTGCTTTTCTAGTGTTCACTGTGTAGGAAAAGCGTGTTTCCTTCTTGTTTACAGAACAGGGGAATCTGCTTTGGCAATCCCTGCTCTTCTCTTCCTTCCCACTGAAACTTCATCCACACTGCCTTTCAGTTTCCAAATAGGAGGCAGAGCTCAGGATCCATCTTATGACTGCCAGCTCCACGATTCTACTTTGGTGTCTCAGAGGTACCTCTAAGGTGCTCATTGAACATAAACTCAATCTTTCCCCACACCTAATCTTCCTCCTGGCTCCCCCCCGTATGGGAATGGGACCATGATCCACTCCACTTTAAAAACCAGAAAATGTCAAATTATTTCTAACACATTACCCTCTGAAATCAAAGTCAATGTCAAGGCCTATCTATTTTGCTTCCTGAACATTTCCCTAACTTGTCATTCTCCCCTTGTCCCCACAACCACCATCTTAACTCCAGCAACCACTCTGTTTTACTAGTCCTATGACAATAACCTCTTACCTGTTCTTTCTGCAGCCGCCCGGGACCCCCAGGCCTTCACTGCACTGCAGCTCGAGTGACTTCGTAAAATAGAAACCAGCATCTTCCTGGTGCCTAATGATGCTCAGCATCTTTTCATGTACTTCTCTGATATTTACACATCTTCTTTGGTGAAATGATGATTTAGATAGTTTGTTCATTTTCAATTGGGTTATTTTTCAGCTTACTGAATTTTAAGTCCTTCATCTATTTTAGATAAAAGCCATGTTGAATATGTGTTCTTCAAAAATTATTTTCTTTTCCTTTCCTCAATTGTGATAATACTTTCATTAGTGTGTCAAAATTTATCGGTTATACACATTAAATATGTGCAACTAATTTATGTCAATCATACTATAGTAAAGGTATTTTTTAAAATCTGTTTTTTATCTCATCAGTCTCCTTCTTAAATTCCAAATGGCTGTTTCCTGATTTCAGGTTGAAAAGCAAAATTTCTACTGTTGCCTAATCCAGGCCTGCCCCTCACAAGTGAAGGGCTTGAAGTGAGAATCCAAACAGAGTTTCATATGCCATATGTCTAACCAATAAAAATGATCATTCAAAGGATGCTAACAACCAGTAGGTCTCAAAGCTTATTCCTTCCCTTGTTCTGATAGGCTACCCTACAGCTGCCTGAGAGTAACACAGATGAGGGTAACACAGGACTGAGCAGTAACACAGATGTGGAGCAAGCAGGAGCTGGTCTGGAACCCAGGGTTTCCAGTCAGTGCCTGAAATACCCTAAACCTGGGTTTGGGGCCAGGTTGGTGTTATGCTGGCATGAGTCTGATAATGCTGGAGGCCACTGTGAAAAACCAGAAGAAAACTATTCACACTCTGTGGCATTATTTGAGCCTTTGAACCAAGTCCCTAAAGCCATGAACTTTTCATAAATTCTCTTTTTTTTTCTATCTAGATGACTACTTAGTTCATTTATGTAATTATGGTAGAGGTTTTCAGACCAATTTATTTTGTTACATCAGAATATCCTTATATGTCTTATTTAGTATAAAACATTTAAAAATCTAGACTTTTTAAGTCCTGGCTGGTGTAGTTCAGTGGATTGAGCGCGGGCCTGTGAACCAGACAACCGCGGTTCGATTCCCAGTCAGGGCACATGCCTGGGTGGCAGTCCAATTCCCAGCAGGGGACCCATGAGAGGCAACTATACATTGATATTTCTCTCCTTCTCTCCTTCCCTTCGCCTCTAAAGATAAATAAATAAATAAATAAATAAATAAATAAATAAATAAATAAAATATAAAACAAAAATTGGACTTTTAAAGTATTATTCTAAAATATAATGCAAAATTATTCATGTTTTCATAGTCCAAAATGTAAGGTCAGCAAGAGCTTGACCCATGTAATAGATATCTTCGTCTTAGCGCCTTATAGATTGTGGTGCTTAAATACTCATTCATAATCACTTATTTCTTCTACTCTTTATATAAGGAATATCAGCTGATGATATATTTATTCTAACTTAAAGCATATATTTCTGTAATTCTGATCTCTTCATACTTTATATGAAATATAAAAGCCCAGCAATTCAGAGACATGCTTGTTGTTGCATGTCTAGTAATAACTGGAAGAAAATATTGCTATAAAGATTTCTAGCGTAGAAATTGTAGGAAAAGGCCCTGGCTGGTATAGCTCAGTGGACTGAGTGCAGGCCTGTGAACCAAAGGATTGCATTTTGATTCCCAGTCAGGGCACATGCCTGAGCTGCAGGCCAGTTCCCAGCAGGGGACACACGAGAGGCAACCATACATTAATATTTCTCTCCCTCTCTCTTTTCCTCCCCTCTAAAGATAAATAAATAAAACCTTAAAAAAAGAAATTGTAGGAAAAACCGCTTAGCTATTTTGTAATTCTCTGAACTGACATATTTAACCTTACTATTTTCAATCATTATGTAATCAATAGATTTATACCTAAGAATGATTGTTTTCATATAGTAAATTATTTGCTCTGATTATTAAAGATTTTAATGAGAAAAAATTGAAGTAATAGAGAAGATACTGTTTTATACTAAGAAGAATTAAATGAACAGATTTTTTCCAATCTTCCCTAACTTAGGAGCAATGTATGATTTTGTTGTGGCTTTTTTTAACATAAATATATTTACAGGCTTGAAAAAGGAAAGATTGTGACAGAGCAACCCCTTTCTCAGGCAATATGGACTCTAAATAATCCATTGTAAATATTTTTTAACAGTGAAATAAAAGGAATAAATAAGGAGAAGTTGCTTTGGGAAATCTCAGCAATATTTCCATATGGGGCTAAATCTCCTGACATCTGCTTTGTGGCAATTTTTTCTTCTTTAGAAAACAGAGGTTAGGAATCAATTTTTATTCACTACTCTTGGTGAAACTAAGCCAAACAAGGCCACAACACTATTTCATACAAAATATCCAAGAGAGGTAAGAGGTGAAATGACATTCAAAGTGCTTACCTAAGGTTCTTTATTGTACTAGATCATACAATAAAAATGGCAATAGAATATTTCTGTAGTTGGAAACATGTCATTACACAATATAATTGTAAACTACCTCATGATAGGAACGGACAAGATCAGACAGCCCCCTTTTCTGAAACAGTGGCAGAAAGTTACCTGGGGACTCAGCGGTCGGTCACATGCACCCTTGTCATTATCTCCCATACACCAAACAACCAACCAGCTAAACCAGCTTTAGGTGGGAGGAGTGAAGATTTCAACCTTCAAAGGGGGTTTAATGCAATATGCATAGTGGATGAGAGAGAAGGTGTGAAAAAATTGTTTATTATATGTCCCTTGATGTTGTGAAATTTTTATATTATTGCACTTTTTAAAATGGGAAGTAGACCAGAGAAAAGATATACCTCCAGGGGTGGCACGCTCTTGAAAAGAAGTGGTGTACTTCTCTAGTGGAAAATGAAAAGCTAGTAAAGACAATGGGATGAAGTATCGACTATCTTTCCTATGTCCTCATTGTTTCCTGTTGCCTGCGGGTTCTCCTCCTTTTACTTCCCATTAGCTAAGTAGTCCACTCTCCATATTTTCTTGGGTGTGAAATGTAGAGGAAGTCCTTGACCATGTCACCACATGGTTTTATTTATGTCTTTTTAAGCATACTGTAATTTTAATTTAATACTATTGTGATCAATTGTTTAATACCCTTCTCCCCCATTAGAATATGAGCTTCCTGTAGCATCTATTTTAGCATTCATATTTTTTATTCTCCATTGTGCTTTAACTGCATTGTCTAGCACAGTGTTTGTTTAATGAATGTTAATGGTATGAGGCCATATATAGAGTGAACACAAGGAATCAGAGAATTTCAAACAAAAGTAGGGATTTGAACTATTGTACGTATGGTCTTTTCTAAGTTTCTATCTCTTTGCCACATATAGCATATAATTTCCTGGGAAGGATATCCAAAACTTTTCCTCATTAAATCTGTCATGTTAATTTTAGGAGAAAATTACGACTCATTGTTTTCAGGATTTTTTTTTCTTTGAAGTAAAAGCTCATAGGGTAATCTGAGAAAACATCCAAGTACTTGATTCATTTATTAAATGCAAGAGTAGGAAGCCTTCAGGACATGCCATGTACAGAAACCTGGTGCCAATGAGTATGCATGGAAAATGGTCTTTCAATGGACTTGCCAGTCTCCTCATTAAACATTATTGTCATTTGTAAATAAAACCTTTATAAGATTTTCTTTGGGGGAAGGTCTTAAAATCTTTGAAGATCTCTGTTAACTCTGCATATGAAATGCCAAAAAAATCATTACTTTGTGTAATGATTGCCAGATGAGTAGCTAAAAAAGGAAAGCATTAATCTTGGATTAGTTGAAGATTAAAGTAACCACTGTAGCTAGTTTAGAAACGAGGCAAAATGTAGAGAAGTCAATACTTAGAAAATCCTTAGAAGAGTCAGAGGGCCAGGTTTTACGCTGAGCTGAGCTTTTGGGAACACTCCCAGACACAGGTACGTCACAGAAACTGGCCTCAGGAGGAAACAGCCTCTACTACAGTTTCAACGCTGAGGAATCAGGAAGCTCTTTTCCTCCCTGCTGGCTCCAGAAATACTCTGCTTCAACTGTCATTCAGGAATCACGGAGCTTCACTCAGAAATACTGATTCTAGGGCCATGCCACATGGGCCAGATGTCAATAGCAAAGTGGATGTCTGGGGTACATTTTCTCTCACCACTTCACTGAATTCTGAATTCAAGTCTTGCACAAGTGCATGTGACAGGCAGTACCTAAATCAAGTGTAGGTATAGGAGTTTGGGAAATGTTTTACTCTCCGCTGTCTCCGCAAACCAGAGAGGACCACAGAAGGCAGTGGAAACAGAAGTCAGGTGAGTCAGTTTATCACACCCAATCCACTACTCAGAGATGACTGAATATAGTTTAATAAGGCCATTTTTTAAGAAGGCGGAATTTTTAAAAAGGATAGAGATTTTGTATGTCTAGAAGTATTCCACAATAGTAGTTCCTAAAACTGAACATTAGAATCAACTGGGGAGATTTTTGATGCATTTTAAGGTTTCCAAGAGATTTTGATAGAGGTAATCTTAGGTAAGGCCGGACATTGCAGTAAAAAACAAAATCTTAGGTTAAAATTCTATGTATGCTAATGCATTTAATGACTTGTGAGTTATAAAGTCAATGGTATATTTCAGCATGCCAGAATCATATGAGTAAATATGCATTCTAATATTTCTTCAGTGCTTAAATACAAAATAAATATAAAAGACCAGTAATGTGGCTAGTTCTCTGACCCTACCCATGATTCCAGAAATGGTGTGTAATTCATACCAAGGATACCTCCACATTAAAAATAATGTGTTAGGTGAATATAACCACTACCCATAAACGAAGACAATAGTGTTGTGATGGCCTGAGGGAAGGGGTGGGGGTGAGGGCTGGGTGGAGGTAAGCAAAGGAGAGAAATGGGTGGACATCTGTAATAATGTACATAATAAAAATAAAGTTAAATTAATAATGATGATGATGCATTATATGATACTTAGCAAAGAAGAAACATGACCCAATTACTCTAAGGATAAAGTGTGTAAAAACAATCTAACATATAAAGTTCTGTATTGCAATAGAATATATCCAAAATCATAATACAGATTTCCAAGATTCATAAATTTAATCAGCACTCTTTTCATTTATATTGAGGCGTTTCTGAGGACATTGAAAAATCTTATCTCAAGAGAGCACATGGGTCAACCTGCACCTTTAAATGAAGAAGATATTTTCATACTCTTTTACAAAAGAAACAAAACTTTAAGTCTTTGCAACACATATTTTCCAGATAATTTATTGTAGTAGCTCTTGACATAGTGTGACAAATAAAATCACAACAAATTATAAATGAGCCATAGACATTTATAGTACTTTGCACCCATGCTTATTGAAATCATAGTGTTATAAGCATATGTGAATGCTAATGATATAAAATTAAAATAAAATAAATTTGAGGTAGTAATTTCTTTTTATTTCAAAGCAACTTTTTAAGATGGAAATATCCATTGCATCCATTGTTAATTATCATTATATTATTTTTATTGTTGGTTTCACACACATAAAAGTAACTTTACAAATGTTAGTACCCATCAATCTGATAAAGTGTGAGACTCCATTTGATATTGTTAAAAAATGTCAGAATCTCATAAATTTAATGCTTTTTTATATTACTTTTCTATCCATTTAGAAATATTTATTATTTTAAAAATAAAATTTGTGACATAAATATAAATGACCCCATGGAGAAATTTTAGTAAATTACAGTATTTCTGCAACTTAAAATCACTCACCAAATATATATATATCTTCTACCTTTTGGTACACATAAGAAAATGTTTGTTATTGAAGAGTGAAATGGTTCTATGTAAAACATGTATAATAATACATTTTGTGTATTGATGTGTTTTTACAAATACAGCTTAGAAAAGAATTGTATAAATTATATGTTATATTTTTTCTCATAAATATAACCTATAAATTATAAAAAGCAGAAATGTCGAAAGACTATTAATCTTGAGGATTATATGCTGCTTATATCCCTAATCTGTAATCTTTAAAAGAAAACCAAAGATGGATAGATAGCATTATTTGGAAAGCCTTTTCATGTCCTACATCATCGTGAAGGACACATCATCGTGATGATATCTTCAAATTTCCTGAGACAAGTTTTCATGAGTCACTTCCAGATTCCTGTTGCTGTCAGCCATAGGAATTTCAGGGTATGGCCTTGTAGCCCTCAGGTACTCAACATGATTTGCAGTGTGTCAGACAGATGAGGAACACAGAGAAAATAACTAAAAGGACACATTTGCAAATTCGGCACATTTTCCTAAAGTTTTGAGAAGTCAAAGTGTACGTTACAAAAAATGTGTTTGAATTGTGTCATATCCTCACTCTTTTCCCCATTTTTTCCTACAACCAAATTCCTATTTATTTCTTTTTTTTTCCATGTACATTAACATTTTTTAATTCAATATCTTGGGACGACACTAACCACCTCTTTTATTTCCTCGACGTCTGCAAATCCATGACTATACTGTTAATTACTAAAGTATTTCTCAACCAAATTCAGGTCCTTCTCTAAGAGAAAATTCTGATTCAATCTGATTATTATCTGGGACACCAAGTTTGTTTATACTCTTTGGTTATTGCCATAATCTTATCATTTGTCTCTACATGGCCAATTTTAATTTACTTGGTAAGTTACATAAGTAATTGTTTTCATTAATATAATAAATGAACACATGTCAACCTTTCACCCAAAACCAAGCCTAAGACTTTGACAACAACCAAATGGTTTTTCTGCATCCATGTCCCTGCCTCTTTCCATCAAAATATTCATCTTCCTGAATCTCGTATTTATCACTTCCTTGCTCTATGTAGCTTAAATGTATGTATATGTTTTTCTAAAACACATATAGTGTATTTATCTTTATAAAATATTTTACATCATTATATAATATCCTGAAAATTAACATTTACATCTGCAATATTTTTGTTATATTTTGGGGGGATTTTTTTGTACATAGCTTGAATTGTAATTGCTGAGTCATATGTCTAGACAATAATGTCAAATTATTTTCCAAATTGGCTTTGCCCATATGGGCATTCACCAGTGGATCCACATCTTCCCCAACGCAGTACCGACAGGTTTTTTAATGCTGGCCAATCAAAAGCATGTAAACTGCTAATTAAATTTGTTTTGATTTATATTTTCTTAACCACTAATGAAGTGAACATCTCTTCACGTGTTGATTGGCCTGTTGTTTCTTCTTCCGTGAAATGTCTGTTTATCTTTTGCTCATTTTTATGTAGGTAGTGTTTTCCTTATTATGTATTAAGTATTTCTGAGTGTGGGTGTCATGAATATCTTCTGCAGGTCTGTAACTTTCACTTTCTTTGATGTAGCTTCTGATGGCCAAACTTTTCTTTTAGTATTTCCAAGTTTATCAATGCTTTATTTTATAGTCAGTGTGTTCTGTGTGTTGTTTAATCAAACAGTCTGCACAAACCTCCAAAATAACCATCTATATCTTCTACCAGGAGTTTTAAAGATTTAACATTTGAGTCTTCAAATATTTGGACTATTATAGTTGTTTCCTCTTTTCTGAACTTTCTTTTTCCTCCAACACCTTGAAATCAGAGAAGGATCAAAAGTAGCATATTGTATCCTAATAAGTGTAGTTACAGATACAAAAAAACACTTAAAGCAGTAAATTATGAATATGGTAGTTTTTCCTGCTTATGTGTCAAAAGCATCAGAGACTTAGGCTGTAGGGCAGAGAATATTCCAACTCATTGCACAGTGGTTTCACAACCGGTAGCTGGTCCTAGCATCCTCTAGCTAAGCCAAGCTAAGCTCTTATATCTGAGAGGAGGGTTCTACCAGTTACCCTCTGGGAAGTAAGCTTAGTTAAAAAATTTTAAAAACTCACCCCTATTGTTTGTAACAAATCCTAGGTCTGGATAAGTATTTCTCTTCATTTAAAGAGGAGAGGCAGAAAATAATAATCAAATGTAGGGTCAAATCTGTGGGTATATCTACTAAAAAAGTAGCCAACCATTATCTGGACAATAGAGAATAAGAGTATATCCTTGAAAAATGACTTATCAAAACAAATAGTAGAAAAAAATGTCTATTTGGAATATCAATAGGTGCAAATGGCTATACAAAGTAGAAGCAAAATGCCATAAGAATAAAATAGATTGAAATAAAAAGATGATCCGGATGAGAAACTTTAAAAATAAGATGGATGTATTCAAAAGACCCAAGGAAATTAATAACTAAATAGAAGGAATTAGGTCAACCAAGGGGAGAGTAACAAATAGAATGATATTGTTTGAAGAGAATTTCCAGAATGAAGAGACATTATGAATAGTGGAAGTGAAAATGTTAGACACAAAGAAAATGTAAATACAGCCCGATAAATATAGATATTACTAAGAAAGACATTGAAGCAATTAAATGAAGATGTATAATAAACAAAATTATAATTGAGGAAAACTTTATGTGACTGAAAATTGGTATCAGTCTATGGATCAAAATGCCACTCCATTTAGTGTAATGAAGGAAAAGAAAACAAAACTCTAATTCTAGCAATATTTTTGAATCAAATGTAATTCAAATAAATAAATCTAAAAATAAGAAAAAAATCCAGTAAACATTCAGAGAAAAAGATGTGTAAAATGGTATAAGTATGACTAGCCATAGTTTTTCTTTCTTCATTGTAACATTTATATACCAAATAAATATGGAGCAATGTTACAGAGGTTTTTTTTTTTTTTTTGGGGGGGGGTGTGACTCAAGTTTTTTGTTATATGTAAAGGTACAAGAGATTAGCTCTTAAAAAAAATCAACCAGCATTCTTGTGATATGGTTTTCACATGTTGCTTGTCTGCAAAAATGAGAATACTTTCAGCAATGAACTTGAGAACTCAATTTGCTCTACAATTATATTTCTCTTTCTAATGAGAACATTCTAATTACATACTTCAGTCCTAACAACCTAGTTGACTTGTGTCTGCCACTGAGACAAGATCAAGTTTTACTCTCAAATAATGTTTCAAAATACTCAGGATCAAGTATAGATTCTGAATAATGACAAGCACTTTAATTAAGACATGGATTTTTAATTTATAGGAAAAATATGCATACATATCCCTTCCCTGGGGGCAGGGTCTTGGGTGTAGGACTGGCGGATATGTGAAGTTTAAGAAACCAAGGTCAAAAGGACCATTGTTTGACTTGCAATGGCAAGAGAAAACATTCAGTTTTTATCAAAGAGAGAATAGGTTGTAACAATTGAAATAATGCCTCAATTCAGGATTTTGGGGGATCCTTCAGGAGATAATTGTTTTCTCTCTTTAATCATCTTCTTTTCTATGTTTTAACAAATAAGAATTGAGTTAAAATTTATTTTTTAGAAATGATTGTATCATTGTTACATGTAGTCTTTCAGTTTAGACACCAAAAAGTTTTATCTCCAAGCATTCAAAAGTGTAATACTTCTTTTGTAGCATGTTTATTTCCTGCATATAATTCTGTGTTCTTAATCCTTTTACTCTCTTCAAATAGCCTTGGGTTACAAAAATAATTAAAACAAAATGAAGCAAAACTCCACAACCCAGATATTAGCATTCTTATTGTGTTCAAATCCAGTGCATAAATAAGTGAATATAATAATCTCTGACTGCCCTATATTATAATACTATGAGATGATTTTCTTGTTTTGACTTTGAAAGATTACTAGTCAAGTTCAAAACAGAGGGCTCTTCCATGGACTGTGTATTTACCTTCAGAGAAATTATTTAATCACTTCAGCATTTGAATCATAGTCTGGAAATGATGGTTGCTGGTCTGGATCATCAATTATGCTCCTTCTTCTCTAATGTCCCAGGGCTTTTGGTTGTTTCTACATTTAGTTGGTCTGTTTTCAGATGTTAACTGTCACCCAGCCTTAGAATACTGAATGCTTCAGGTCTGAAGAGGCCTCAGACCTCACACCTCATGAAATGGTCACCCTGATGCATTCAGTATTCTAAGGTAGGGTAACAAAAAATTCTACTAAAGTAAAACTTTGAGATAGAAAACACTTTAAATCCTCTTCTGAGGATGGAATTGAGAAAGAGAGAAGGAACTAAATCAGCTATTTATGATTGATTTTCTTGGGTAAATCAAGTTAGATTTAACATGAAAATTTCATAAATTTTGCTTCAATGAGAGTTGACTAAAACTCTAATTATTTAGTTAATAAAGAACTATGTACCAATCACTTAGAAAACTACAAAAGATTCATTTTAACTTGTTGTAGTGATATATGCCCAATTCACTCTTTTAAGTATTACAGCCAACAAAATTGCCCTAATTGACATCAAAGAAAAATCTCACCAAACACTCGTTTTTCTGTTTATATCAATTTTGAAACAAGTTGTGCATTAAGGAAGTCACACTTACAGTTTTGTCTTTCATAAAAATCCATCTTTTCATTTCTGGTGTTTTGTAGTTTTTGTTATATCTATTTTGGCAACCATAACAGTGTTATTTAATTTAGATAAAATCATTTTAATCTAATGTTATAACAAATCAAGCTATTCACTATTATTTTTAAAAGCCACTTATAAAACATTAATTGCCCAACTGACCAGTTTAATAATTAATGTAAATTAGTCACCAGTCATATTTTTGTAGTCAAAATATGAAGTGAAAAGACTCAGAGCTAAAATGTTTTTTAATTAATTAAAAAAATAGAGGGAAAAAGGAACAAAGAACAGATGGACTTGGACCAATAGAAAACAGAGTAAGATGACAAAACTTATATCTATCCCAAGTACACACTGCCCACAAAAATGTATTTAATTATAAAGTCACATATGTTAAAAGTAAATAATACCCCAAATATCACGCAAATGCTAATCACAAGAAAGCGGAAGTACTGTGTTACTGGGAGACACAGTGGAGCAGGACAAGGAACTTACCAGAGATAAACAGGGACATTTTATAAAGATGAAAGGGTCAGCTACTCAATGGCTATTTCTTGCAAAGGGATATGAGGGAAATCCATCTTAATTAGTTTATTGGATACTTAGATGTGTACATTTGTCAAAGCTATCATACAGTGCACTTTAAGTGGCTTTATGTATTGTACATACATTATACCTTAATGCAGTTAAAAAAGAACAACTATGGTCATTTGCCAACTGAACCATAAGTGAGCTAGGATAGTATTACAGCACAGTGATTCAGAACATTATACTCGTTGGCCAGATTGCCAGGGGTTAAATCCTGCCTCTACTTCTTACTATCTATAACATTAAGTAAATTAGTTAACTTATCTGTGCCTCAGTTTCTCTTTAAAATGGGTATTATCATAGTTAAGTGGTCACTGGATTACATGAGTTGATACAAATGAAGGGCTTATAATAGTGTTATAGCAAGTACTCAGTAGTTGTTAGCTAGCATCCTATTTTGCATCCTCTGCCTAACCCTGATTAACAGTGGATTCTTCTGGTAACCAGTAACTGTTTTAATGTAGCAAAAGGAGAAAAATAAAGGAAGAGGAGTAAGAAATGTAGCTCTTTATTGGAAATCAGTTTTTAAACTAGGAATTAACTAGAATTAATTTGCATGCCCAGATTTTTTTTAGCTTGAGCAATGAGAAACTCTTCTTGTAATTTGATTTGCATAGTGTGCACACGCCCTATGAGGAAAGATAGCAACGGAATACAATGTAAAATTTATGCCAAGAATTCTTGTAACTTGGTTTGGAAACTCTCAGCAGAAATGTGCTCTTTCCAGTCACATTCTACACATAGGGTATGCTTAATATGTCTGTTTGAATAAATTAATGAACAGGAGGGTATGGGAGTGGTTCTGAGTATGTGACACCAGTGACTCTGCTTTATAACTTTACAAAGGAAAAACACAAAGGAGAACAAAACATGATATTGGTCCCAAGGGAGTTTGTTTCTTTCAGAAACTTCTTACAGCACTGTGTAGCTCTAAGATTTTCCACTGCAGTACTTAGAGACAGCCCTGCCATTCTAATTGCTGTCCTATTGAGAGATGGTCTCTAAATATATTTTATTTTGTGCTCCATCAGAAAAATGTTTGTCCAGCTCATATATGTGTATGTATTTATATTATTAATATTACAATGCATATAAAATGCAAATTAAAAACAATGAGATGAAGATAAAACAATATTTTTATATATTGTCTTGTCTCCTATTACAATTAGCACTATTGTAGCTAGCCCCATATTGCTGTTAGCTATTATTCCAAGACCAAATATAAATATGTACTTTAGATTGAATATTATTTTTCATAATAATAGATGTAATTCATAAGCCAAGTGGTCTTCTTGTAAACTTTGTGAACCTTAGCCAACTTTTCCTGCTAAAGTTATTTTTATGTTCCCAACTTACACCTTAGAATATGGCTTACAACTTATACTAAGAGTAAAACACATATTAACACATTTTTGTTGTCAGCTTGTACATTATTAGAATTATTCTAAATCCTCAGTTTTGTAAAGACATTTTTCCAGTCTTTCAATCTCATTTTATAATGCTTAGCTTAAATAAAAATGCATAACACTATTTATGAATTCACATAATTGGGTCTACATACAAACAGTAAATCATAGCTGAAATGTATGAAAAACGAGACTGCCCCTGTCTATCATGTACTCTTTCCTCAGGACACTTTGTGCCAAATGACTGACATGTCTGAGTAAATGACCCATGACAATTTATATATAAACCTTAGTAAAGATGAATTTACATTTCATTTATATAAAATTAGATATGAATGGGGGCACTAATACTTTCTTTTGGAACCTCAGTGTGTCATATTGCAGACTCGCAGGGATTCACGTCACATGCCCTCCTTCAGAACTCAGCCAGAAAAGAAGGCCCACATGCCACATATGAGAGAGAAGTCCCAAAGATAATGGGCACATATTTGCAGTCCAAACCTACACAGAATAATGTGCATCTTTGTTTTTATGTAAGTGAACTTGATTATTGACTCAACTTTTCATATTTAACTAATTGTAAAAATTCTTATATAGTCCCTTTTTTCTGGAAACTTGGTGAAATCTATGATTATTAATGCATTTCAGGTTTTCATTAAGTCAGTTCAAGGCTCCCCACTTCCTCCTTCATGAGACTTCATCTGAGATCTGAAGACAAAGAATGAGGTGAAAGGGCCAGGGGCCAGAAAGGAACTGGCTGTTATGGTGACATCACAAATATCTAGTCCTCAGTCATCTTCTCTGACATGACATCTAATGTCAAATGTTGCATCTCACAGCCACCGTACATCTGATGCTGATATCACCTGTCCTGCACGCGAGGAAGGCCAGTGTAACGTAAGATCACGAAACATTTGGTTGGGGCAACATTGAATTGGGATTCCATTTAGTGCATTGAGGAAACGAAGGGAAAGACTGGATTAGAAGAGGTGAATCAGCATTTATCTTTTAGAAATCATAAGTTTAAAATGTCTATTGTGCATTTGAGGCAAACATCAAGTAGACTTTAAATATGTCTGTCTAGAACTCAGAAGAGAGATTTATGGCTAAAATATACAGTTAGGAGCCACCAGAAACATATAATTGATCTTTAAATCATGGAAATGAATTAGATAATCTGACTTTTGAACTCCAAGGAATGAGTGTAGAAACATAGATAAGTGATTCATTAATAAATTGGTTGAAGTTCCAGACAAGGAAGCTGAGAAGTGGCCAGTGAAATGGGAGGAAAACTAGGGCAGCCCCACCTATCAGAAGCCAAGGGAAGAAGAACCTCAAGAAAATATGACTGATCAATTTTGTCAAATGTGGATGAGAAATGTGGAGAGATAAACACAGTTGATCTCCAGATTGGGTAACATGGAAGTCCTGGATACTTTTGAAACATTTCTGTAGACTGGGTGACAGTGGGTTTAAGAGACACTAAGAAGTTAGATGCTGTGAGTGTAGGGAAGTCTTCTAAAAAGTTTGTCATGCAGACCGGAGCAGCTGATACAGAGAGATCTGACCCAGTCACTGGGAAGGAGTAGGGGGGGGCACAGGCAGAGACAATGGTCTAGGGTGCGGTTGGCTGAGAAGTTAAATGCCTCCAGAGCTCATGGAATTATGGACGAGAAAATGTGAAATAAAAGGACTTCAGGGCTTTCAGACCAGCTGGCTCTCGGGCTTGCTGACTCTCTCTTTCTCTAGGGTGCCTGGATGATCGTGATGAAGCTGCCTGCATTTCTCAGCGTACAATATTTTAGATGGGAAGGAATGCTTTAGAGCCATAAAGGATGAGTTATGAGTTATAAAAGATGACCAGGGAGGCTTGGACATCATGGGCAATAAGACCATTCCTAATGATTGTCTGCAAGGGGATGTCAGTTTAGTCCTCATTAAAGTCTCTTGGAGATGATGATATGTTTGACTATTTGTAGTAACAAAAAAGTGGAGTGGTGGGAAGCAGTGGTGGTCTCAGCAAAGGTACTGTCAAAGTTCAAGGAGACACGGTGACATTGCAAATCAAAATGCAATAGGATAATACATTTTCTACTGTTTAATCAATGTGTTTTTCATCCTGGAAATTCTCTTTTACTCTATTACTCTTCAAAACACCTCTTACTACCACCAAGGAGAAGGAGGGTTGGGCGAATGGGGTAAGATAAAAAAAAATTAGAAGTTAATGCTTTTGAATTGGAAAGCCTGATCTTCCAAACTGCTTGATGGTCTCAGGGAAAATTAAGAAAAAGAGTATAATTTCAGGAGATGAGACCTTGAGAAGTAAGAAGGACCTGGGAACTGTAGCCTGTAAAAGACTTGCTTTAGGAGCAGTAGGGACATTCCCTTTATTGAAAGAGATGGGCAGGCCAAGCATGTGGACACCGAGGCAGGGAAGCTAGTAGACTTAATGGGAGAAGATGAGGAAATAGTTGCCTGATTTTCTTTATAATATATGACATAATCATCAGCTAAAAACCAACCTGAAATGAACTGAGATTAACTAGAACTGACCGAGATTATTACTTTGTAGAACTCCTATTTGAAATGTGGATGAGAAAGGGGTTCTGTAGAAAGTAACTTCATAGGATAATCTGATCATAAATTCCTAACTAGCTAGGCATTGTGGGTGGTGCCCCAGGTGTAGAGCTTGTTTAGTAAAAGGTTATCTTTACCGAAAGCACTTCCTGCTCATTGTTTCTGAGCATCTAGATTAACACATTTTGGAAATCTTTCTTTTTAGACACCTCCTTCTCAGTTAATTTTAACTGCCCTTTAATTTAATTTCCATCCTTGTTTTCTCCCACCCTCAGGTAATCCCCTCTACATTCCTTAATTTGTGCTTTAATCCCTAATGTGTAAAACAAACTGTTGTTCTCCGAAGCATTTGAGATCTTGTTCCCTGGCTGATGTTGTAAATTTGGCTAAAGTAAACTCTAAAAATAAATTTTCTACAGGTTTGCACATTTCTTACATCAACAGAAACTAACTTTGAAATTAGAAATGTAAAGTTACATTTTTAATACAACTGGGTCTTGTGGGCTAATAGTGGTAGCCACTATGCTTAGGAGTCTTTCTGTAACAATACATGCTCACCTCAGAACCAAATTATCTTGAGCTGATAGATGGGAGGGAATTTTCATGTGGGGATGAGGCAGAGTCCAAAGTTAATACTAATTTCAGATAAACCACTGCATGTGAGTAAATTATTGAATGCTTTAAATTTTCTAGGTAGTTGCATAGGAATCTCTGGACAAGAAAAAAAACGAGAGGCAACAAAGCCTTGTAAATTGCTGATACAGACAGTCAATTCTCTAAATCTCCAGAGAGCACCTAGGAAGGAGTGAAAGTTATGTGTAGAACCCATTCCTCAGATTCTGAATTTCTCTTAAAAGCTGTCTACAAGAGCACAGAAGGACAGAGAGCCTCTGTTGCCTCATGGAGCTGCCATCAAGGCAGTGGCCTGGAATCTGCAGTGGGAGACAAACTGTGCCTTGGAAGGGGAGCTGTGACTTGTGATAAAGCCAGAAAGAACTACTTAGTCCCAGAGAGAGAGAACTGTTCTAGACAGCTGCTTACCATTTAGTCTGGAGTAAGCACTCTTTGTTTTGTTTGCCTATATAGACACAGCCTTTTGTTCTTAGTTGAGATTCTTAAAAAGAAACCAAAGCTAAAAACAACAGAAACCATGCAGACTCAACAATCAGAGAGTGGCCAGTGGCTCTATGGAGCCTATCAGCCAATATTTTCTTGAAGTAGACAATTGGTAGAAAGACTGAGCCGTCCCCATGTGGATAGAGTGGATCTGGTTAGAACTTCAAGTTGGGAAATCAGCTAGATTGCCTGTGAACTGTGAGCGCTACAAAGCTGCGTTGGCAGAATGAAAGAGAGTTTATCCCAAATCACATTTATTGTCCTGGAGTAATTATTAAGTGTCCCCTTTTACTTTCAAAAGTATCAGAAGCTAAGACAAAGGGTGCAAATCACCCTATTTATAAGCAAAGCTAACTCTCATGAAGGACAGCTTCCTCCTGCATAATGGCCAACGTCCCCAAAGGAGGGAACGGAGGGATGGGAGAGGCCCAGGCCAGCACTTAGAGGAGGCAATCCCCTGTCAAATGACTGGCAATTCTGGTCATGGGAGATGCATATAGAATCCACTATTTAGACTTTAACCCAGGAGAGGGAAAGAAAATGTAACCCAGAGAACCACAGGCTTCATTGCGTAATGAGGAAGTTACTCCTCCAGAGAAACAGATTCTGTACAAAAACTGGTTCTTGCCCTTTGGATTACAAACACAGCAAAAGTACCTAAATGAGAAGTCGTTTCTTTTTCAGAGCACAAAGAGTTGCTAGAACAAAGTATTATTTTAAAATATAAATTTTGGGTTCTTTTTGCTCCTTGGCCTTTCTTTCAACCAAACTAACAGATTTCCTGCTGGCCAACTGAGTCACTAGAAGAGGTTTGCCCACAGGAAAGCAGGGAGTGGGGGATGAATAGAAAGCTGGGGTGGAGCAGTGGATTTGCAGTGATAGATATCAAGTAACTTCGGTTTGGGTCCTTGCTGAACCCCATGTCCTCCACTGTCCTCTTTTCTACAGGCTGAGTCCTGAGATGCAGTACGAACAGCAATCCTACACATGACTGGAAAGATCTGAGAGGCTATGAGTTGGCTCCTCATTTCTCAGGTGGAATGAGAGGTGATAGCAAGCTTTCCTGGGTTCCCATTTTACCCAGCCACATGGCAGAACATTGGAAGAACGGTGGCCATTTGCATTACTTACGTAGATGTGTCTGACACAAAATTTTCCTGAGCTAAGTAGGTTCCAAACGACCCAAAGAGGTGTGGAAATTGGTGAGTGTGGAGTGAACCCAGAAAGGCCTTGGAGAGAGCATGGGGTGGTAACCTGAGTGGAAACAGGAAAGGAACATGACTGTTCAGCTGGCGTGCACAGGTGATAGAAATCAGAGAGTAACACACTGGCGCCCTACCTTGCTCCCTCAGGAACTACCACTGTCACCTGGAATGCGTCCCAACAGTGAAAATGAGGGTGGAGGCAATGATAATGGTAGCAAACATATAGGGCTTTCCCCAGACTGGGCATTACTCTGTGCAGTTTAATTCTCACATCTCGCCTATGAGATAGGCATTACTATAAAACCCATTTTACAAATGAAGAAACTGGCACACTCAGGTTAGCAATCCTGAATTTACTTAATGAGGTAGAATTAACTGACATTGGTTTCATCACACCTTCTAGATGAGTGTGTTCAAAGAAAAACTTAAGGGTACATATTTATTTGTGCACAGATTTGTTACACACCTGCATTTCTGCACAAAGGTTTAAATCCATTAAACAGATATCTAATGTGAAGGTTTAATTATGAGTTTGTTTTGTATACCAGATAACAAAGAATTGAAGTAACCGCATATTTAGCAAAAAAAAAAAAAAAAAAACAACCCAAAACAAAAAAACACAGAAAAAGTCATAGTAAACTCAAGCAACCCAGAATAGGAAAAGTTCCACAATCCATCCTTTCCTCATCTGCACACACCGGTTCTTTCCACTTTCCCTTACTCTGTCCATATCAGCTACCTCCTGACTTCATTTTTCTCAATTCACGGGCCTTGCCCTGGAGTAAATCGTTCCAGTGTTCCTTTTATCACCACTGTAAACTCTTTCACAACATCCAGGTTTAGACCAAGTTTCTTCTCTGTTCGTCTTGCCTTTAACACTACTGGGTCCCAGAGTCAAAATAAAAGCAGAGACATACATACTATTAAATACATGTTCTATCCCCTGGCTTTGACAAATATGCCTTCATAATCTAACACAATATTTTGAAAATTAGCA